TTATAAAAAGAAACACGATTCAGCTAAAGTAAAGAAGTTTATGCGAATGAATAAAACTTCCGGAACTAACTCCTCGCCACATCCTATGAGACAAAAAGAGGGCATCCGCAGGGCCTAAGGAGCAGTTCCTTAGTGCGCTCAAGGATGAATATTTTAGACAGTTTAATAATAAAAATTAACTATCTTGAGTGTATGCTCGGCATTTTAACCTTGTCTCGTTAACGGTTTGGTCCTTTGAGTTAAAGAAGGTCTCAATTGGACAGAAAACAGTTTAATCTTTAAATTCACTACACCCAAGTGAGTAAGTTATGAGATAAAAAAGTGAAGAAACGATTCCGTAACCCAACAAATTTTGTTCAGAATTTTCAAAATCTGATTGCAGATTCGGATTCACCGACCCCGATTTGCTTTCGCCAACTGTGAGCGCCTGTAGATGTCGTTGGTTATCATCTACAGTGTTCCGCTCTATTTATTTTTCGTTCTGTTGCGCAATCGATTGGAAAACACCGCCCACGTGAGTGAGCTAGTTGATATTACGCACATGTATATATTTATATATATATGTATGTTCTTTGTTTTTCTTCTCATCTTTCTGCTGGTCGTTATCACCCTTGATATTATTGTTTTTTGTTTGATCAATATATATACGTATATCATCCAACAGCTTCATATCGATTTATATATGTGAGCTATATCTTATATATATAGAGGAGTTACGCTCAGTAAGATCATCCCCATTACAGAGCTAACAGGCATTTTCGTGCAACCTAAACCAAATAGGAATTTTCTTGAATTTTATAATTACATTTTTTACTTGATTGTCGATGTTTTCAATTTCTTCAAGACAATCCTAAATATAGAAATAAATATAGAACTATTTCACAGCCGTGTTTACTCGTATATCATCGTAAGCATCTTCTCTAGTAGGTGGTAAATATCGTTCTTCATTACCACCATGATGAGAACCTTGTAATCGTTTACTAGCAGGTACAAATAGTTCCGAATCATCATCGAATAAAATTTCTTCTTTATCACCAATTTCAGAACCTTTCAATTCTTGAGGATTAACTACAAATCCTTCTTCATTATCACCGGCAAAAATTTCTGCCGGTTTTTTTAATATTTTTTCTTGATTGAGTTCTAAAAGAAAATTAATAAACCAAAATAAAGTATGCAAGATATTTTACTTTTATCTTCTTCATATGTTTTGATGGAAACATCAGTCTGACTATCCATTGCGATTAAATCATAAATTTCTTTTTCCTTTTTTTTCGCATCAATTTGTTTGCCTTTAACCAACGTCAATAATTCACGTTCTTTTTTCCTAATATCAGCCCATATGTCTGTTTGCTTTTGGCGCATTTGTGCAACCTAAATTAAATGAAGATTTCCGTGCTTTTTATAATTGTATTTTACCTCGCCGTCGATATTTTGAATAATTCCAAGATACTCCTATATATAAATAAAAATAAATAGAGACCTTTATCATATATTTTATAACTCTATTACTTCTATTTCACCATAAACATCTCTGCCAGTTGTTGGTAAGATATCATGTACAATATCTTTTTCTGGATGATCTTGAAATTCCTTCGATGTATGATCATGTTCAGAATCTTTTGATTCAACACAATCAAGCACAAGTCCTCCTGGCTTATGATCATCCAAATCTTTGGACGCATTATCACTAAGTCCAGTTTGTGGCTGTTCACGACCTTGACTCTTCTTCATTTTAATCGTATTACACGCGAAGGACGACATTTTAACAAATGCTTATATTCAAATGATTTTAACAAACGAAAGTATTTATTTATACGACCGACGGGAGAGAGAGAAGAGAAAAGAAATAACTACAAGAAAAACACTAGCACTACGTACGAAACACTTTATATATCGAAGTTAGAAAGGAAGACATAAACAAAGAATAGAAAAAAAATGAAATAGTTACTTCATGTCGAACAGAAACAACAAACTATCACTCTTCCCATTGTTTTAATAAATGACCTCGATTTCGTAAATAATCTTCATGTGTTCGATGTTGTGGCCTGAATTATTTCCAGCAGCACTTGATGATGAAAATGGATGTGATAACCCATGATGATCATAAATAGCTAAAATATCATATAAATTCTAATTATTAAATTCTACATAAAAAATTGTAAGAAGGTTATTATCTCTAATTCTACTTCTTATTAGTAAAGACACATCTATCTATATCCTAAACGAGCATAATCATATTTTACCCGCTTTCTTCAATAAAACATCTCTAATATTTGAAGATCATGTAACGAAAAAAACGAATAACAAACTTTTAAAATATACCTGTAACACTACCAGTTTAAAAAAGAATTGAATTAACAACGATTTGTGAATCATAAGATCCACTAACGTCAATTCGTCTACATGGTTTACATGATGCTACTGGTCGACATTTTTCATGACAAACATTCGAACAATCACGACATTGAAATACTTGGATTCCTTCTAATAAAAATAAATTTTATTTCAAAATAAAATCTTAATTAAATTCAAACTATTTGGTGATTTTTTTGAATCAATTAATTCATCACAAGCATCAGATATTGTTGTATAGAAATTTGTATTAGTTCATATGTATCTGAACCATAAATCGATGATGTACGTGATGACGAAAGTGATCGTTGTGGTTGAAAATAATTTTGTTGAGAATTCCTTCGTTTGTATGTTTCATCTTGCACTGATAGATGCTAGAAAATTAATTATTATATTTTTTATTGTCTGTTAATTGAACTTGAAACTCGTACCTGTGCTTTTTCTCGTTCAGGTTTTTCAATTTTACCCCCATAAGTTTTCCATGATTGACCATTTGTATGTGATAATGTTTTCGACATTTCCTAGAATAGAAAAACGGGTAATCCAGTAGTATTCATTAGAAAATCAAAACATCCTTAGAAAAACAATTTCATTAAAAAAATCTGGTAAACAAAGACTAATATCATCATAAACAGCTGATATACTTTTACTACGTTGTAGTAATTCAGCATCATTTAAATGTTTATCATGT